GGGGCGGGGGCGGGGGCGTCGCCATGCTCTCACCTGGTCGTGCTTCTCAAACACCCTCTGCACAAACTGGTAGCCAAGGTGGTTGAGCTCAGTGCTGCAGCCGGGGGGCACGTGGAGCCTGCAGGGAGGCGACAGCCCATCCGGTTCCCAGGAGACTCTGCGCCACCACGCTCGGCACCTCTGTCACCCTGCCGGCCCCGTCTGTGCAGTCGGACCCTCCCTATAGGACCCAGAGGCTCCTGTACGCCCCCAACCCTGCAGCTGCGATGGGGAGGAGGGTGCCTATCTGACTCCAGCACGTGGGAGGCCTGGCTGAGGCCCCCAGGCCACAGCCCAAGCTGCTGACCCCAGCAGGGTGAGCAAGTCACACATGCGGGATTGGCAAGGGGCCGGCCCCCACCTGACAAAGAGCTCTGTGGATGCTGAGGGGTTCAGGGCACAGCCAGGCAGGGCACTACGCCAGACGGCCTGCTGAGTGAGACCTCCCCTCAGGGAGGGTAGGCCTCGACCCCAGCGCCACTCACGGAGGGAAGAGATAGTCGGCCGTCAGCTCCAGTGTGTCGCTGTAGCCGAAGCTCCGCAGGATGGTCCATGTGGTCTCGTGCCGGCCACGCTGGATGAAGAGCGTGTTCAGGAAGAGGAAACCTGCACCGAGACAGAGCAGGGGGAGCACCAGGCACAGCACCCTCCCCACACTCCCCAGGCACAGCTGGGCACCCGGCCTCACCATCCAGGGTCAGCCGGTCCTCCCACACGCCGCCCGCCACGTTCCTGCACACCACCGTCTTCACGTCCTCCAGGGCCTGCGGGGCCAGGGGGTGCCCGAAGCAGGATTTCTGCCTCCGAGAGAACGTTGCTGGGAGTCAGCCAGTTACCCGGAGACGGCCCGTTCTGGTCACTAAGAGCAGCGGAGGTTCGAGGGGGCTGGGCACCGAGGGTGGGGCGGGGGCACACCTGGAAGGCGTTGAGCTCCTCGTCACTGAGCGCCTGGTCCAGGTCCTGATCTGAGAGCCTGAAGATGCGTGTCAGCGCCTGGGCGCACGCGGGCCTCAACTGCGGGGATGTTGGCTCAGCACCCTCAGGCGGCCCGTGCCCACCCGCCACGCCACCCAACCCAGCACCCCCCAGGCCCCTGGGGAAGCAGTGTGTGGGGCCCCAGCCAATGCTCACCTGCTTGGCCTCAGGGTCATAGAGGGGGGCTGTGGGGTGCAGGACAGCCTTCTGGGCATAGTAGAACAGCTCTGAGATGTTCCTCAGGTTCTTGGCTGAACACTGGGAAAGGGGGAACAGACTCAGGGGCATGCCCCGGGGAACCGACCGAGGACACGAGGCATGAAGGAGGCCCTGCCCCTAGCTCAGCCCCTCAGCCGGGACCCACTGACCTCCACGCAGGTCTCAATCTCAGGAAACTGGCTCATGATGGGGAGCACGGCCTCCATGGAGCTCCCCGACCGCAGGTCTGACTTGTTGCCCACTAGGATGATGGGCACCCTGGGTTGAAGGCCCATGGTCACCAGGGGCAGGGAAGCCGGGGGTCCCAGCCCCTTCCACATCCCCCTCATTACCTGGGCCCCCGCGTGGTCCCCCCATTCACCAGTGGGATCCACTTAGTTCGAATCTGAAAAGCAAAGCCTGGCTGTGAGGTGAGGCTGCCCGTGGGCACATGGCTCCCAGCTGGAGCTCAAGCCTGGCTCGGAGAGAGCAGAAGCGGGAGGTCAAGGCCCACTGACGGCCCAAGTCCCGGTCACAGGAACAAAGCTGGTGGGAGAAGGCAGGCAGCAGGTGCAGCCTCATCTGTACAACCCCAGTGGCTCCCAAACACCCCCAAGATCACTGGGGCCCGAGCCCAGGGCAGCCTCTGACGCAGGCCCTCTGAGATTCCCCCTGGGGTTTGGAAACCGGAGAAGAAAGAGGGCTGCTGGCCTAAATGGCTCAGAATGGGGCTGCCCCACACCCTCTGGGGGGAAGTGGGATCACAGGAGAGAGCCTGTGCTCCCCAAAATGCTGCGAGAGATGGCACTGGCCACGGGTTGAGGGTCCACCAGGGGCCACTGTGTCTCTGCCATTGGGGTCTGCACTGAGGGCTCACCTTCTCAATGGTGGCCTCCTCAGAGACGTCGTACACCACACACACCACGTTTGCCTGAGGGAACAGTGACGAGGCGTGGGTGACAGGGCTGTTGGCTCACCACTGACGATCCTGGCCACTCCATGCCATCTCAAGGCTCCAGGAGGCCCCAGACGCTCACAGGTAGCATGACTGCAGCTGAGGCCGGGAAAGCCCAGCCTTCCCCAAAACTTGCCTCCAGCCTGGTGTTGGCAGAGCACTCCCCCGTGTCACACTGGCAGCTGCTGCTGAACCCTCAGAGAAGCCTCTTCCCCACCCACTGCCAGTGCAGGGACACCAGGCCCCAGCAGCATAGCTGTGGCTGGCAAGACCCTTACAGCAGACGGCTCAGGACAGACACGGCCACACCTGCAACACTACACCATGCAAGACAGCCGCTGTTTGGCCCCTGCCTCTCCCCTCCCTGCAGAGTGACAGGACCGCAGTGAGGGGCGCTGGCAGTAGGGGCTGCCAGGTGGCTGGCCTGGGTGGCTGTGGCCTGCGCCCTCGCCTGGGATGTCCCCGGCACACGTGCTCTGGTACTAGGAGCTCCGGGTGCCCGGAGGCCGGGGCGGTGGGCTGGAGTACACAGCAGGGGCAGGTGGCGCACACAGAGCCCACAGAAAGAGCAAACGCTGCTGCCACCTGGGCAGGAGGGAGGGACAGCCCGCGGGGAAGGGCCCTGTTACCCCTGGAGCACCGCTGGACTGAGCGGTGCCGGCTCCCAGCGGGGTGCGCTGTGGGGGCCCCAACAACCCTCAGTGCGGAGGTCACAGAACAGATCAGGGCCAAGGACACCCTGAGCACCTCAGTCCAATCCCCCGGCCGGCGAAGCGGATTAGGCCGAGCCCGCGCCCGGCCCCGCCCTGGTCCCGCGCACCACGGGTACCTTGTGGATCTCCTCCCGCAGCTCCTCGTCCGTCTGCTCGGCTTCTAGGGGGAGGAAGAGACCCCACTGCAGACCCAGCAGGCCCGCCGGACCGCTCCGGGCCGGGCCCCCGGGAGGCTACGGCCGCTACCTGAGTAGTCCACGATGTGAGTGGGCACCTTCTCCGGGGTGACGTCCGCGGGGATCGTGATCTCCTCCGCGCGGGGAGGGACCTGCAAGGGACCCGCGCGCTCACCAGGGACCCCCGGCTGGGCCCG